GGCTCGTGAACTGAGAGACTGATTGTGTGAGTGTGCGATTTGATTCATTTTTCTCAATTTTTGTCACTCTTAAGTGATCGGAGAATTTTCCAGTATGGTCACCGGTCATTGATCCATTGGAAGAAAGTGAAGATTCTTTTGTGCTTCTGGATTGTTATGTATGTATTCTGTAATTCGTTTGGCTGAAGATTGAGGAGCAGACAAAAATTTTTGCTCCTCTGACTAAGAAGAAAACACCAAGTGACTGAGAGAACTCTTATCGATTTGGTGGAGATGTCGAATTCGAAGGTGGTTTACGAAGGATGGATGGTCCGGTATGGACGCAGGAAAATTGGAAGGTCATTTATTCACATGAGGTATTTTGTGCTCGAGTCTAGATTGTTGGCATACTACAAGAAGAAGCCCCAGGATAATGTGGTGAGTGACCAGGGATTTCATTCATGTTTCGTACTTTTTTTATATGATTTTTTGTTCAATTTTTGGGGACTAAAGATCATGTTCCGCTGTATGCACTTCTTTTTTAGAAGTGCAGTTCAACGGAATACACAATTTTATGATTCAATTAGCTGTGGTTCTAAGTTATAGCATTATAGTTTGTTTCCAGAGATGAGCATTTGACATTGTTGTGTAGAGATATTGATTGCCCTCAAGGTGTTGCGAAATAATGTTTCTTTTGCTCTTTCTTATGTGGTAAAGGTGCCCACCAAGACTCTTGTCATAGATGGCAACTGTAGGGTGGAGGACCGAGGACTGAAGACTCATCATGGACATGTGAGCTGCATTAACATTTTTTATATTTATATTTCACTTGCTGAATTGTCTTCTATATGATTGTGGTAATTGGTTGGACGAAACTCAAAACTGGAACAACATTTTATTCCTATGCTCAGAATTAGAGTGGTCTTAAGTTCCTGGATGATCGGAACAAACCTCACATACAACCTTATTTAGTCTCAGCATCTCATATTGGAAAATTCTTTTATTTTGTTGAAAGGATATCACTCGCTGTATGCGTTTTTCATATTGCTTATTGTTTTTGTATTATTGGTGCAAGAGATGCATATATAACATATATCAGATTTTAGTAGGTGAAAATTTGAAGTTGATGATCCACACTACTTTAATTTTATAACAATAAGCTGAACAATCAATTAAGGTACTAAGGCTTTTGCCTTGGTGTATTTTATTTGATGGGACTTGGGATGGACATGAGAAGGTTGGAGGTTGCCTCCATGTAGTTCTCCAGGCAAAAGTTGGGGATGATTTTTTAGTAAGATGTATCCAATTAAAGTCGTTGAACAAGGAAGATAAAGTAAAACATGATTAATAGTTTCTTTTATGGATATTAAGCGAGGGGTTTAGCTTGAGTCCATGTTTGTGAGGTTGGAACTGTTCAATTTTCACTTGGCAGGTGATAGTTTGTTAATTTTATAAAACTTGTGCATTACTTCTGTAAGTAACTTAACAACTAGTTATGCTTTATGAATGAGTACTACAATGGGACTCATTGTGGCAACCAAACAACGTCAAGGTTGCTACAAGTTTTTTTTTTTTAATTTATAGGACTAGTCTCATATATTTTTCCATGCTGTTGCTCTTACTTTGCAAATCAACATAAAGTCCAGTTTACTTTTCTAATGTTACCTGGAAATATTGGCTCAATTGTCTAGTATACGTAGTTCTCAGTTGATACAATATACAATGGTAAAAAGTTACTGGAGAAAATGGATTAGCATGGGTCACTGGGATATATAGGCGTATATAGCATATTAGTTCACAACTAACATGTTCATTCCACATAAAAATCTGATATGACTAAATTCTTGGGGTGCTGGTATTCCAGCATTTAAATGCATTAGGTTTGTCTTTTTTATGTTTATTGACTTTACTCTTGTCAGAGGTATCAGTGATCAGTGAAAAAACTTCTTATCTCTATATTCCAAGGCAAACTCTAGTTATTTTGGGGTGGGTTCCCTTTTGTTTTGCATATGAAGATGCATAGCTATTGCTGTTGGGCTATCATTTCTGTGTTAACAGAAGTAGAGTTGAAGCTAGATATCTGTGTAGTTTTTGATGCTTTGGACGTTCATAGTGACATGTGTTGGCTGGTACTGCATTTGTTTTCACAAGTTTTGGTTTATTTGGGCAGATGGTATACGTGTTGTCTGTTTACAACAAGAAAGAGAAGTATAACAGAATTACGGTGCGCTTCTTACAGACTTATAATTGCATTTATTTATACTTCCCAAGTGTATTTTTGTTTACTTGCACATGCATAACGACGCTGTTTATAATATTACCTTTCATACTTGAAGAAATTAAGAAATAATTAGTCGGAAACTTTGCTTGAATATAGATGTAAAGATGTCCTTGACTATGATACATTCTCATTAGTAATGAAGACCTTTGATGAAATTATGAATAATGAATTGGAACCTTTTGATATGCTTTCTGCACGCTTTAATTTACTCCATTACTCATTAGTAATTAAGACAGATCTTTGTCCTCATTGCTACTTTTTCTCTCCTTTTATATTTGAACAATTACTGGATCTCCCATAGTTCTTTTCCTAACCCTCCCATTTTTTCTGGTCTTCTATTTTGTTAATAGTATGATAGCCTAATAAGTATTTGGGGAATGTGAAATAACACCTGAAGCTTAGATATTCACCAGGAAAAAGAAAATAGATGAACGTAATACACTGGAAAGTGCGATTACATCAATTTGCTTGTATTATAATATGTAATATGCTAGAAGGGCGACAAATTTAAAGTATCATTTTCTAAGAAGTTTTTTTGGGTTGATTAAGAGCTATATTTACTGGGTAAGCATGTGATTCATTATTCATTTAAGTAATGACCATGATATAAGTAAAACTTTTATCCTTGAAATGTTAGTAATGACCAGTAAGAAATACTTATGGTTGTGAGCTTTATGTTGGGAATGAAACTTATTTTAGCTGTTGATATTTCAAGTTCCAGATGGCAGCTTTCAACATTCAGGAGGCTCTCGTTTGGAAAGAGAAAATTGAATCTGTTATCGATCAGGTTTCTTGTCAGCTCTCTGTATTTGCTTATTGTTTGAAATGAATATTTTCTGCTTGTGATGAAGTGACATTTTCCTTGGATATTTGTCTTAATATCCCATTTGCTGATAATTGTTGGTGTGCAGCATCAAGAGTCCCAAGCTACGAATGGTAACAAATATCATTCCTTCGAATATAAATCTGGTATGGATAATGGGAGGGCTGCTTCATCATCCGATCATGAGAGTCAGTAAGTAGTTTTTTTTTTTTTTTTTNTTTTTTTTTTTTTTTTTTTTGGTAGTATTCAACTTTGAATACAGATATATGGAGAAATAACAAGCTGAGGTTAAATGAGGGATTCTAAAGTGTCACGTAAAATACTTTTCATTTGCAGTTTGTAACTTGCTTCTCTAGGTGACTCATGACTGTATCCCACTTTCCCTTTCTCCTATAGCTTTGTAAGATAGGATATTACAAAATTTTTTAGACCAAGGACAATATTCCTTTGGAGCTATGTTGTTGTGTAAGGAAAGGGAATATGATGTTTGAAAGACCTAAAAAGTAGATCCATGAATTAGGACTAGATAGTCCTTGTGTTTTGGTGGTCTGAAGAAGGGCCAGGGGCCGTCTTTCAAGAGATAAGTTAATGGCTTTCCATAGCTTCAAGGATGTTGCTTTTCTGAACTCTCTTGCCAGATGTGGAGCTGAAAGTCATCATTAAAATGATTTAGGATAGTGCTGCCGTTATAGTTGAAGCTGGGGTTCTGATTGCTGCCGTTGGTTTCTTTTACTCAGTTCTGATCTTTTGTAAAGCTAGAATTATTTGATAGAACTGTCGTGCATTAAAGATCTTGATGTATTGTCCTGGATTGGTTAGTATATCGTTATCTATCAAAGTGCTGGAATTGTAAGAAATTACCATGTATTATAGAATATTCATTTGTCAAAATTTTTAAAACTTTGAAATTTAAGCTTATTTTGGTCAAGTCATGCGTACATTTTATTATGGTTTCTTTGATAGATGTTGATATTGTTGCACCCCCTATGTTTAGTATGGATATTGTGTATTCTGAGGATTGTTAATTATTTCTTTTCATTCTTCTGTCATACACTCTTCTTCAGTACTGGCTATGTCAAATTATTTCGAATAAAACTGAGTAGGGACAATATATTTTTATATTGATGACCCATGTTGAAATGGGTTTTGTTGTTCAATAAGATGGATTTAGGATTGTCTACTTGTATCAATAATTGTTTCTCACACTTATTTTCTCGTAACCATTTCAAACAGAACCTCCAGATACATCTCGACCCTAATTATGTTGCTGCATGTATAAAAATTTCGTGCATTGTTGCCATCGTTATCTGCTGCAACCAATAATTTTAAAATTCCTAATGCTCGATTATTCTTACTTAGTTTGATCTTTCTTTTCCATTCATCACTGTAGGTTTAGTGCTGCTGAAGAGGAAGATGATTCTCAGCGGAATTTGTTGCGCAGAACAACTATAGGAAATGGTCTCCGAATCTGTTAACTATCCCTTCAATAGTTTTCGGTTTTATTGTGCTACGGAAAATTTACTATCAATTTTCTGTAACAGGTCCCCCAGAGTCTATTTTCGACTGGACTAAGGAAGTAGATTCAGATTTGGCTAATCAAAACTCTAACAACCAAGCATTTTCCAGAAAGTATTGGCGCCTTCTCCAGTGTCAAAATGGTGCGATGATCTTTGTAACTTACTAAACGTTTCATTACATGTGGATAATTTTGAATATATCATATAGACATATATTGTCATTATTAATTTTTTGAATGATTCTTATATGATGCATGTATCAACATTTCTTGTCTTTATGTTGATTCTAGGTCTCCGTATTTTCGAGGAGCTTCTTGAAGTGGACTTTCTTGTAAGAGCACACTGCATTTTGGTTGAACTTCAGAATTGTCTTTGCTAAAGATGGATGCTTCATGGTTTTATTCCTTATTTAATTATTTTTGTGCAGCCAAAGAGCTGTAGTAGAGCAATGAAAGCTGTTGGGGTAGTGGAGGCTACCTGTGAAGAAATATTTGAACTAGTAATGAGCATGGATGCAACACGATGCGAGTAGGTTTAGTTATAGTTGACTTGACTTTCACTTTGAAAAATTCCAATCGTTACGCTTCTTGTTGAAAGCGATCCAATGAAAATATTTTTCGAGAAATTTTTTCTACTTACGCATGTAATTTTTTCATACATTATATATGTTCTTTAAGGATATTGCTGCCATTGTACAGATCATCTTTGCCATCTGAGACTGAGTTTCTTTTTGGGTTAATGGCGTTTTTTATGTGTAATTCTATTCTTACACTGCAGAAAGCAGAGAACTAATCATTTTCTCTGTTGATAGCTGTAAAGGATAAAAAAAACGAGAAATGGGAGAAATGTGGGAAAATACATCATGGAATATATCATTTTTGTGCTTTAATGTATGAATTAAACCTGCAATCTTAGTTAGTGGTTTTCAACAATATTTTGTTTTGTGCATGCAGGTGGGATTGCAGTTTCCAGTATGGTAGCTTAGTTGAAGAAGTAGATGGACATACAGCAATACTATACCACAGGCTTCAATTAGATTGGTTTCCGACGTAATGTGTCCTTTTGATGATCTGCTTTTGATTTGTTTTTTACATTTCATTGCCTTTATGCTGTTCCGTCCGTAGCAGCTATATTGGAATAATCTTCATTATAAAGTTACACAAAGAGCTTCTTAAATGTAGGCAAAACTGTTTCTTTTCATGCTATTGTACCTGAACATTATAGTTTCCCAATTTTTGTTAGTATTGGTATTCTGTATGATCTGTTTGCCTCATGGACCATTACTGGAAGATTAATGAATCAATTGGGGACAAAAACTAATTATCTTCCGCGTTTCTTTTTTCTTGTGTTATGCCTTTTTATCTGATATGAGTTCCTGACAAGCTTGATTAGTTCTTACTTTTGTCCCTTTTCTTTTAATTTCTATTATCAATACAGTTGATCTATTTATCATTTGCAAAAAATAAAATTATTAGACTTTTCCCCAGTGGGAATATGTTGTTTTATGTAATTTTCATGGTCTGGTACCTGTATCCTGTAAATTCATGTTATTACTTGTCAAATCACCAATATATTCTGTTTGTACTCGCTATATGCATCCTTAGAATCTGGCATATCTTGTCTTGTATCAATAATCATTCATCCTATTGTAAACAATAACAGCTTTGTATGGCCTCGTGACCTCTGCTATGTACGCTACTGGCGTCGAAATGATGATGGGAGTTATGGTAAATCTTTGAGGCCTTTTCCTATTTTTACCGTTGTGTTTTTAGCTATCTTCTCTGACATAAGTTTTCACATTTGGTTCTCTGCAGTTGTCTTATTTCGTTCTAGGGAGCATATGAACTGCGGTCCCCAACCTGGATTTGTGCGTGCTCATATTGAAAGTAAATTCATCTTCCAATGCTATTATGAAACAGTTCGGTGATGCTTCGTTTTGAAGCGTTGCTGTCAGTGGTTTATCTTTTTTATTTGTTTTCAGATGAGTCAAATTATTTTAGAATTCTAGCAGTGCTGAAAGCCTAAGGTGATAATGATCTCAGGTGGAGGATTCAACATTTCACCTTTGAAACCTCGTAATGGGAGGCCCAGAACACAGGTCCAGCATCTTATGCAAATTGATCTAAAAGGATGGGGAGTAGGCTATATATCATGGTTCCAGCAACATTGTCTCCTTCAGATGTTGAATAGTGTAGCTGGTGAGATCTCATAGTTTGATGTTATTTTGGGATAAAATTAAGTTTTATATTTTTGGACAATGTTTTTATAACTAATCAGTGATATGGCTTGAGCTTCCTTATCTATTTGCCTATACTCGTTATGTTTTAACAAATTTGCAGCCAGATCCCTGGTTCTCTTGGGTGTTAAGCATGGTGGTATCTCTTTTTCCTATTTCTGTAGACCATTCTTCCGTGGAAACAGAAAGTTGCAAAGAAAATCTGAAGAGAATGGTAATTTTTTATGCTTGTGGTAGAATGATAATCAGGTTCCTACTATCACAGGTTTGCGAGAGTACTTTTCTCAAACTGACGAGAGGACTGCGGCCCCACGGATCCCTGTTATGGTCAATATGACATCATTATCGACCTCTTCAAAGAGGAGTCAGAAACTCCAGATGTCTTCTGTTCATCATCGCAGTGCATCACTCGATCAGATACATGCAGCTAATAGAAATGCCGTATTGATGGATGAAGACTCGGATGAGGATGAAGATCTTCAGTGTGCTGATCAAGAGGTTCTGTCTTTCTTATTCTTTTTACATTATTTCAGGTTTATATACTTGATTTTTGGTATGTTCCCTTTGTTTTACCTTTTGATTCGATGATGCACAGGGTTTGGGATCTACAGTTGAAGTTGAAGAGAAAAGAGTTGGTAAATACTGAACTTTTGTGATTCTTTACTCTTTTAAACATTCCTTTAAACTTATATTGCTGAAATTTAATTCAAACTTTTTTATGAAAATTGAAGCTTTTGTAGAAGAACCTGTGGAACAGATAGACTTATCCATTTTCTCCGGTAACCTTCGTCGTGATGGCCATGACAAGTCTCGCAACTGCTGGACAGTATCCGACGGGAACAACTTCAGAGTTCGTAGCAAGCGTTTTTGTTATGACAAATCAAAGGTAAACTAATAGTTACTCGTTTTCCGAGCTGATGCATTCTGGTTATGTTTTGTTCTTGTGCAGCAGCCTAAATGTGCTTGGCTTAATCTCATTAAACTTTTGCAACATATTTTTGAAGATTCCTGCAGGCAAGCATCTTATGGATCTTGTTGCTGTGGACTGGTTCAAAGATACGAAAAGAATGGATCATGTTGCCAGGCGTAGTGGTTGTGCAGCACAGGTAAGTTTTCTCCTGGGTCTTCTGTATTGCATTCAGTTGCTTGGCCTTCATTGGCTTCCGTTTCTGACCACACAATTTTCCATGATTACTAATTTAAAATTTGATTAATTCTTAGTTGTTTCATGGCACTTGTAGCTAATGCAAGTGACACTCTGTTTCCTCTGCAGGTTGCATCGGATAGAGGACTTTTCTCTATTGTCTTTAATCTGCAAGTGAGTTGATTATGTGGCTAGTTTTCGTATCAGGTGGTGTGTAGGTTAACACATTTTGTCTCTTCTAGGTACCAGGATCGACCCACTACAGCATGGTGTTTTATTTTGTTACGAAGGAATTAGTACCAGGATCTCTCTTGCAGAGGTTTGTAGATGGGGATGACGAATTTCGCAACAGTAGACTGAAGCTTATTCCATCAGTTCCTAAGGTATCTACTTCTTGTTTTTCCCTTTGTAATAGAGCTGTAGTGAACTTTTATGTGGAGCTACTGCTTCAGTTAATGAACATACTTGTAAGAATTAATTCCATTCCGTGTGGATTTTCTTGTTGCTAGTGACCGATTTTGCCCAACAATTACCTGAAGTAGAATATTTGGACAAGGGGATGTTTAATTGAATCTCAATGTATTTTTATATGCACAGATATTTTTTATGCACAAATATAAAATGAGGTATGTTATATGTTTTGTGTTCCTTTTTAATTATGAATTGCATTATATTATCTTTTGAAACTAAAGAACAGTTGTGTCAGTTTCCTGATTAAAACGGAATCACTGAAAACGGGCTTATATATATTGAGGACAATACAGGTGGCTCTAGATTCCTTGCAAATGATGCTTTGAGGGAATGATTTTGTTGCATCTCAAATCAATAACGGAACATGCATTGACCTTGTATTTTGATTTTAGAGTAGGTGGAGCAGTTTGTACCGATTGCTATTCTGTTCTCTTGATATAAATTCCCAATTCTAACTGTTAATAATACCCTAATATTCAATTTTTTTGTAGAGATTTAAAACACTCGTAACTGTTCCGTTATTAAGTATCCGATTTGATTTTTCATTCATCATGTAGGGTTCTTGGATTGTACGTCAGAGTGTTGGCAGCACCCCTTGTTTGCTGGGAAAGGCAGTCGATTGCAATTATATCCGTGGCCCCAAGTACATGGAAGTAGGGTTTCTCTCTGTAGGTCTAATTATTTTGACCGAGATCATATCCTCATTGGTGTCTTGTTTTTTGTGTAGGTTGATGTTGATATTGGTTCTTCCACTGTGGCAAATGGAGTCCTGGGCCTTGTAATTGGCGTTATCACTACACTTGTGGTTGACATGGCTTTTCTTGTTCAGGTATTTATATGTCAACTAGTGATTTACTCGGCTCTCGGCTTAATCACATCACACGTTAAATAAATGTCTGACAAATCTGTTTTTTCTTTCCTGTCTAAACTATCCATGGGACATCTATGTAAAGATGGAAATAAAACTGTAGAGCAGCAAAAGTGTGGTTGCTTTTGCAATTCAAGGAGATCATCAGTTTGTCTCGGGCATCTTAAGATAATAGAAACTATTGAATATGAACTTGTGTAATTTCAAACGGTAGCCAACAAAAGATTCCATACAAGAGTCCTCTTGAGAAAGTTCTTCATTTTTTTTATCTATCATTATAGACAATCCCATCTATATTCGATAAAATATTCTATGGAATTAGAACCCGAATCATTTACATTACGATTCATTATTTCTATCTTAATTTCCAAAGCTTCCATAAAAGAGTCCTCACGTTTCATTGATAATTGAGAAATTTGCATCAAATCAGATATTTATTTCCTAATATTTTTTTGATAAATCACAACAATCAGTTTTCTATGTAAAAACGGTAAAAAAAAAAAAAAAAATTAAAAAAAAAAAAATTCTGAACTAGTACGTTTAGCCATACGTGGTGCACTTGCATATGCATGGGTCGAAGTTAGATTTTCGATTTGGCCTATCTTGTTCCTACCACTGAAATGGTTGTGAAATTTGATGCAATGTTAAGGCGAATACAACTGACGAGCTGCCCGAGCGGCTAATTGGTGCGGTCAGAGTTTCTCATATAGAGTTATCATCTGCAATCGTGCCAAGGCTGGAGTCGGACTCCTGAGGTGCAAGCTCAGAATGAAGGAGTGTCAGTTATACAAAGCAATATCACCAAAAATAGAATATATGTGCTGCCATATTCATCAGTATATCTTCATCTATCCTAACGCTTATGCAGTGCAAATTGCAAAATGGATCCTGTTTATACTTTAAAGATGGGAATTATCTGCGTTTATTGTGAGTCTACTGTAATTTTCACAGAATGTCTGAAATGATGCATATAATGTAAATTGATACCTCTTTTGGTTTTTTCTTTCAGTCATTTGATTCGAGTAAATTTTGAACTTGTCATTTAGTCCAAACGTACTAGTGAACGTTTTTTTTTTTTTTTTGGGGAACTAGTCGTTAGATTTAAGAACTAAAATTGAAAGGGAAGGGGTAGACCTAAGAAAACTTAGAAGAAGATAATAAAAAAAGATTTAAAACATTTAAATTTGAATAAAGATATGTGTTCTGATTAAGCACAATGGTGACATGTGATTCATATAGAGTAGGATTTCAAACAAGAGTCCCTATTTTAACAATATACTTTCTACTAGTCATACTTTTGGAGAAATCATCTTGCTCTCCGATCTTTTTAACAGATCGATGAAATCGTGTGTATTTATTTTTCTCATTCTGTCATCATAAAATAGTACAAGTCATGCCGGTCCTTCATAATATCAAATTTTTACCCCGCTTCATCGGTTGGAGAATCCTCCGTCGGGGGCGAGCTTATGGTTGCTGCATGATCGGCTGGGGGTGTCTCATCCTCGGTCGGTCCTAGTTTAGGCTTGGTAGCCACCTTTATGTACCAAAAAAAAAAAGGGGGAATTAACGTAATTTTTATAACGTAATTTTTACACCAGAATTCGGGTCATAGTCCAGATTATTCGAAAGTTAAAATCTTCTCTAGAACTAAAGTCTAAAACTATAAAACGCACATATATTTCCTCCTTTTCTATTTTTTAAACCTTTTTTTTTTTAATTTCAACATTATCATACTTTTCTTTATGCAAGAGAAATCTCTATGGCTACTTCTCCCTCAAACTTTGCTTTAGTTTCTTTCACTTTTCCCAATTACTAATTTAGAGCAATTTACCAATTTATTAACATATAAAAAATAAGTGGACAAAAAACAAGAAAAAAAGGGGGAGTGGACCAAAATAAAAAGCACGTATTCACTGAATACGTTTTCTGTATAAATTAATTGAAAAACGTATTCACTGAATACGTTTTTGGTATAATTTAATTGAAAAACGTATTCACTGAATACGTATTCACTGAATACGTTTTTTACATTTTTTTAACAAAGAAAACGTATTCATGGAATACGTTTTACAATTAAAATGTGTAAAAACGTATTCACGGAATACGGCCTTTTTATTCATGTCCACTTACTTTTTTCCTTTTTTTTTTTTG